TTTAAATCCTAAATCAAACATCTAAATGGCTTTCGCTTTAAAAATTAAACATACAAATATAGATAAGATGTGGCTTATTGCATTTGTAATTTTACCGTCGCTGATTTTAACTGAAGGATATGAGATAATTTAAATATATTCTTATCAATATTTACTACAGATTTATATCAATGAATTATTTCCCTCTTAACTTTGTCGTCTTCCGTAATTCTTAATATTAGTAGTTAGTAATAAAATGAATCTTCTTACTTCGTGGCACATTCTCTCACATGCGTTTCAACTATGACAATTGCAACTTTATTCATCATTGGATTTATTTAAAATTTCTTGAGATACTTTGCTTTTAAAACAGAATATAATCTATCAGAAAACTAGATTATAATTTGCAATAAATTATTGTTGAACAATTTTAAAAAATAATGTATATGACTGAATTCCAGATGGTTCTAAATAATTAAGAAATTCTACAGAATAATTAGATTTGTCTTCATCTATAAGATAATTTCACCGATTGAACAAACAATCACAATTGAACTTTCTTTTTTAATAGATTTTATATCTTCAGTTTTTAAGACTCGAGCTGTTTGCAATCATTTTTCAGAGGTTGTGAAATATTTAAGAAAATCATATTATATACATATGTATATCTGAAAAAGGTTGCAGTTATTCACAAAAATTTCATATAAGTTTTTTAGGACTTATATCATCGATATTCTAAAGTTGTTTAGCAAATAAGAAAGAGTCAAGTAATCGCATATATGTATTTGGTAAGAAGTTATATCCTCAACATACAACAAGCTATGATATAATCTGCTGATAAAAGTACTTCATTTTCTAATCGTGTTCTCTTATATCACATAAACTGTTAACAACTATATCCCAAATTAAATCCCAATAATAATTTTAAAAGTCAAATATTTTAGCAGTTCTGACTTCTTTCTAATGGTGAATCTTCTATTCATCCTTCTTAAAGTTATGTTGATGCAATTCTTCGGTGTGGTCGATTTATTTCTGCTGTCTGATCATCGTCATTAAGAAAAATGATTCTGCTACTTCCATTGGATGTAATGAAGCATTGATGAGGAGTTGTTTTTAAGCTTTCAGTTTCTTTTGCTTATATTATTACTTTCATAATGAACCTACATAGTAAACATTGTTTTCCTTACTAGTATAATTAGTACTACGTTTCTTATATAACTAGAAGTCTAACATAATTTCAATTATTAATTAAATAAATATCAATTAATTAATAAAATAATAAAATTTTATTGTTGTAATTTAATACTGTTCGAAATACCGCTCTATTGAGAACAATAGTTTATATTAAAAATTCAGTTTCTTTCGCAAACGGACGTTAAAAGTCAAATCATTATAAAATTATTATTAGTAGAAATTAATAAATTAAACTTTCGATCAATATTTTCCTTATTTTAATAATTATTTGAGATGTTTTTTCTGTAGATAGCATTTTATCGCAATGTTAGCACCATCTAACAAATCCAAAGAAAGTCTTTGTTTTGACTCGGTTACTAATAAATATAAACACCAAGTTTGATCCAAAATATTGAAAAGTGTATAAAAATGAAATTTATAAAGAAACACAGAGATTTGATTTTGTATACATACAAATTTAATTATTATATACATATATACTTGTAGACTATGCCTGCTGAAAACTAAAAATTTACTAAAGACCCTTTGATCCGAATGTATTACGGTTTTTGAAGTCATTTTTGAAGAAATAACTTAAATGTCTTCAATCACATTTTAACGATTGGATTCATCTATGATCCGCACAGCGTCCCTAATCAAATAAAAAAAAGCATAACTGCTCTTCATTATTGTGTTTTCCGGTGTCTTTATTCTGTTTGCGCAGTTAAGTGTGGACTTGTGTAGTGATATATGGACACTGTACTTGAATAGTCAAGAAGACAATGCCATGAATCATAATTTGTACAACAGAAGAGTTGGAAATTGTTGGAGAAACAACCAACTTATACTTTGAGGACTATAGTTTCTTCAGTAAAACTACAATAGAACATGAAAAAGAGACAGAAGAAGAGAGAGACAGCTTCAAAATAAATATATATTTTTCTTCTGTTAATTTTCTTTACCGTAAAAAGAAAATATTTCACAACAATTATTGACGTCAAACCAATAAAATAAAATATGTATCTGATGGATACATATATTGTTCAATACTCGTAAATATATGTAGAATAAGATTAAAATAAAAAAATTAATTAAATTAAAAACTAATTTAATCACGATAATTTTTGTAATAATAATATTAAAATCATTCATTTCTGGTTTATTGTTTAAATATTATTGTTTAATATATAATAACTATTCATAGTGATAATTGCAAAATTAATGGTGATTATGCTAAGATTTAAAAATATACACATAAATAGTTAGTTCTTATGATGTTGAAAAGGAAAAACAAACAATTATATAGATAGTTGTATTCCAAAAAATGTTTGGCAGGCACCTGAATTGTTTTTATCAATAAAAAAACTTTATTTTATGATTGCAATTTAGTGGATCAAGTGTGATTGCGCGATGAGATATATCGGCATTTAAATGGCAGGACACAGCCAAGTCGTAACGCACCTCGTCGACAGTGACGATAGATTTAACCATGCTGTATTGTACCGTGCCATATTAACTACGGGGTTCATTATTTATATTTTGAGCCTTGGAAACACAGATTGTTGTCAGATATCCATACATTCCATACGAAAGTTTAATATAATTAACGATAACCTATCTTAGACTATTTATCAAAAGAGCGTTATTTGTGTTATTCATATTTACAGTGATATGTGAATTCAGTGTTCGCGAAAAAATGCAATCAACTCTAGAAAATTTTCGTGCGATTATTTATTACGATTTTCGACTTAGATTATAAAGATAAGAGTGCATCGATCAACTTACTTTCACATTTGAAGCCCCATCCCTTGCCACTGTAAAACGCTCACAATGATTTTAATCGTGGCCGCAGTTTGCTCATTGCGAAATTCGTCAACAACTGATTCGTCCAAAATCAGTTGTTGTGCCCAAAAATATTGATGCTGTGCATAAAATGATAATGCAAGATCATCATGCGACATACTATGAGAATGAGGTTGAGGTGAAACCCTAGGCATTAGTTCTACCAGCATATATAAAATATTGCACGATCATTTAGCCGTGAGAAAAGTTTGTTCTCGTTAGATCCCATCCCCCATCATTTGACAAAATCTCAAAAAGACGCTCGTGTCGATTAGTACATACAAATGCTCAAGAAGTACAGTGGAGGTGCTTCAAAAGACGTACATAAGATAGTTACAGCTGACGTATCAACAGTCTACTGTATGGGTGTTTCAAGATGAACAAAATACAACAAAAGTTGTTCGCGCTCGAAGCATTTTGAAACAAATAGTTGCTTGTTTTTTCTGGAAAACTTGTCATGTGACAACTATACCATTACAGGAACGTGAAACGGTCAATTCCGAATGGTATACAACCATTTGTTTATTAGAAGTCTTCAGTGAAATACAGAAAACAAACAAGCGCCGTCAGATCATTCTTCATCTCCATCAAGACAATGTGAGTGCTTATATATCTCGTCTAACAACCATTATTTTAACATTCAAAAAATCGATTTGATGGGTCATCCTGATGGCCGTACAGTCCTAATTTAGTACCCAACGACTTTTTCTTGTTTCCGAACGTCAAGAATAATATACATAGAGAGCGCTTATGATTTTTGTCAGAGGAAGAAGCTGTTGTTGCATTTAAAAACCATATTTTGAAGGTGTCTGAAGAATATCCTAACAAATGTTTTGACAAATGGTTCAAACGCATGCAAAAGTATATATTTTTTTATAATTAGGCTCAAAATATTAATTGTGACCCTTATAATACGGCAGTTGCGCCCCATGTATCGTTGTTTTTAAATTTAAAACAAAGTCAACTTCTTAAAAATGTATAAGAATAAGTGTATTCTTACCGATCTCAGGTGCTTACCAATTTAGCAATCAACATAATCGACCAAATTAGCTATTCGAAACCATATTAAAAGCTTTCAGCGCACGCTTTCAGACTCCTTTAATCCCACCAACTCATCACTATAAATGTATAGAATATGTACTGATATTGAGGGACACTTAATTTCATCGCTTCAAGATCGTTGACAACATATTTATATCTACCCACTGACCTTCTGAATAGTTTTTTGGCTAAATTTTGACTTACAAAATTCAACTGATGCAAGAACTGAAGGTGCAATATCGCTCTTTACGTCCTACATTTTAACATAAGATTTTATTGGGTTATGATGGCTATTCTGCTTCAAAAACGAAGAAAATAAAAATGCACTTATTGATTGAAGAATTTGTTGACAATATAATCTCTAAAAATGGATCTATTGCCAGGCTGCTAAGATCGTGTAATCTAGCGTCAGCAAACTACTTTCTATGAAGTAACTAAAATTGAATATCTATGTCGACAAGCCGGCTTCGTGTTTAACCTCGGAAAGCACAAAGCTAAGGATTACAGCTTCTAGTAATTGCAAATTGGACTTCAAGTTCTTCGGATTTCTCATTTTGTTGAAATCCTTAAAATGTTCTGCCATTAGTATTGCCATAAAGTTATCAAATATATAAAAAACAGAATCAATTTATATATTGTATGTATTTTATTGCAGTTTAGAACTCTATATCTCTTAAAAATACTTTTCATAATTCTTTAAAAAAATTATAAATAGTAAAATAGTTTTTAAAATTTGATGTTTTCATAAAATAATTGTAAACTTTTAAGGAATTGGTCATTTAATTTTAAATTCTAGTTTTATTAATATTAGAAATAAATTAAAATAGAATCATGTGGTAATACCATATGTGCTGATCTATTGTATAACTCATTGTTTTATATATGTAATATAAATATTATTCATATCTTTTTTTTTCTATATTTTAATGGAAATTTTTTTAGCTTATCTTTATTTATATTTATAGCAGCAGAGCGCAAGATTTCTCGGACCAGGAGTGAGGGAAAAAAGTTCCACAACACCTGGGTCAAAACAAGTTATAAGTAACTATGAAACTGTTCCAGGTACAAATATTAATCATCAACTTTTTTCTTCCTGTTCTTCATGCACCGATGTTTGTGATCATAGTACAAAGCCTTTTCGATCAACACTTGTTGAATCATTTAAAAGGTTAGTAAGTGCTTACATCAAACCGTTTCCATTTTAACAATGAATATAAAATTAAAATTTATAGTTTTAAGGTAGCCGAACTTGGCGTTTTTAGGGAAAATTCTGGTAAATACTCCACCCAAAAATCTAGTGGTATTAGCCTTGAAGTGAACGATGAGACTAATTCCGGAATGTCATTTAAAACAGAACCATATGGACCACCAAGTAGCCCAGATTCAACAGCGGAACCAAACCTGCCCCGTAACATCGACGACTGCGCTGGATGTGGACGATTTATACAGGTAAAAAAGTGTAAACAGCCTATTTCTCTATAAGCGAAAACTATACTTAAATCGACTGTTGTGTTTTGAATATTTCAAATTTGTTTTAATGAACAAATAATAAAAACATAATACACAACTATTTCATTTGTCGTGTAAACAAATTGGCATTAGATTTATCTTAGAAATATCACAAACTGAAATAGTTAATGTGGATAAATTTATTTCAAAGTTCCTTTCTCATCCGACATTTTGTTAGTGATGTTTTCTTCTCTTGCTATAAGCAGGTTTTTGGTATTGGCTTCGCAAGTATGTTACTAATACTATATGAGATTATTTTCAAAAATAACAATCTAAAAGATAAGAAGAATCTAAGAGATACTATTATTTTGACTGATATAAAATAATTGATCGTATTCTTTATGGAAGAGAAAACAATCATAACCTAAAACATATCAACAATAGATAATAGATTTAAAAAAAATGTTTACTCGGAGGTGAATCATATTAAATTAGAATTGGTTTTAAAAATGCTATAACTACAAATTCTAAAAGCAACTTATAAAAAAGGTTCAATTTATTTCACCTATATTTTTATACCTTTAAGAAAGTTTAATGTAGTGTATAGCGCAAATATTGATAACGTATTTTTATTATAGAAATACATTAAAATTGTAAATGTCCATAGCAAGAAATAATTATAAAAAGTTTTGTGATTTCGGATTCTTAATTGTCTTTAATAACATAGTGCGAACAAAAAATTTCGGAGAATACCTATTATCATGAAAGTGAAGTTAATTTTGATGTCTATATGATAATGTTGAATCCAAATGAATCAACGACAAATCCAAACAGAAAGTCCCGCAGAATTTTACAGAGATACTTTACCCATCATCAGTGGTCTTGGAATTAATTCTTGTATTTAATTATTCGTAAATAATTTTTTTTAAGACTCCAAGTATCAGGAATCGAACTCTTGCCCTGCCAAATTTGAAACTCAGAGTCAGCGCTTCTTAACCAACTGACCCGAAGCCGTACTTAACTTTTGTGTTCGCACAACAAACACTTGCTGTGCTTATATTACAACGAAATCATAAACTAGCTATAGAATATTAATTATACATTCAATTAATTAATTTTATTTCTTTTATTTTTAATTGTTAAATTTCAAGAAGAAAAGCCAATGTTGCGCTTCTTCTATGTCAGAAAGCTATTGGTAAGAAGTGGGGTCTTCAACCTCGCATCACCCAATGGCTATATATAGCTGTTATTAGGCCCATATTAATGTATGGTATTACGGTATGGTGGACAGCTCTTGATAAATCTTCGTACTGCTCAGTACTTAACAGGATTCAGCGTAGAGCTGAACTCTGTATTAGCGGGGCGCTATGCACCACACCATCCATTGCACTAGATTTGATGCTTCAGTTACTGCCAATGGATATTATTAGTAAACAAATGGCAGCTTCATCTGCTTTAAGACTAAAAGCTACCTCACAATGGAGAGACAGTGACTATGGTCATGCCTCCATTCTAAATCTTTTCAATTTTACTCCTAAAAACGTTGATTACATCACACCCACTCTCAACTTTGACAGGAAATTTGATGTCGTGTTTCCATCTAGAGAGGCATGGACGTCAGGTGGACCCTTCTTAGATGAGGGCGTAACCATTTTCACAGACGGTTCCAAAACAAGTAGTGGTGTAGGTAGTGGAGTTTTCTCAGAGGAATTGAACAAATCTTCCTTCTTTAGGCTTCCAGATCATTCCGATAAAAGGAAATCGAAAACTCTCATTGAAATGTCCCGCAAGGACATTGGTCTTCTGGTAGGGTTGATTACAGGGCACTGTAAGCTAGGGAACCATGCTAGAAGACTAGGTCTTCCTTTCAACCAAATCTGTCGTAGCTGTGGGGAGGACGATGAGAGCGCATCTCATCTGTTGTGTTTTTGTCCAGCTCTTGCACGTCGGCGATTTAGTACTCTAGGGGCCCCCTTCCTTGAGGACCTGGACCAGTTACAGGATCGGGCTTTAAATAGCATTTTATGCTTCGCAAAAGGTTCTAGGTGGTTTTAAACCCTGAGATTTTTAGTATTTATATACGGCATCACAATGGGCCAAAAGGCCTAAGTGGATCCACTAGGGATCACCGGTATAACCTAACCTAACCTAAATTTCAATACCAAAAATTCAGCCAAAAATTCAATTAATTAATATAATATGAAAAAGACTTTTTGTTGTTGTAATTCACTACTTTTCAAAAAAAAAACCTCTTCATGAAATATACTAGTCTCTATTAAATACAATAGTCACTTCCGTCTTAAAAATGACGTTAAATTACAACCGTTAATAAAAAAATCGTAAATTGCGGCAAACACTCCATTTTTCCTTTCATAACAATAATATAATTATTGTATATTAATTATAATTATAGGAAGTATTTCTTTGATTTTTGAAGCAAAGTTTTTTCCAGACATATGCATATTAGATACATAGAGATTTACATCAATAGAGTTCCAGCAATAATAGTCAAACTAATATAATCCTACACTAATAATAATATAAATATAAATTTTACACTACATAAACTTTCCATACTATTGGTAACGATACCTCAACTTCTTTAATTATTATATATATAACCCCTAAATAGAACATTTAATTACCATAAATATCAATTGTTTTTATAAAAAATTTCACCTAACATCCAAAATATCTCTCTTTGAACAAAAATAATCAAAATATATATGCCCGATCCATTTGAAATCTGATCCTGAATTTCAACCATAGTGACAACCAAATAGTGAGTGTTAGTGAAATAAAAACAATTTTCTTTTTAAATTAATAGGTTTATCAGTACTGAATCGCTCAACAGATGGTACTGTGACCAGAGCAGTCCTATTGCACCAATTTCACTATTGATTACACAAAGCCCTTTAAAGCTTTGTGGACAAAGTCCAGAACAAAATCTAGAGAACTTCATCTGTTCTGGTGACAGAAATACTATATGAAATAATTTTTTTTTGTGCGTTGTTAAAGCTGGACAGTCACAAAGAATATGTATAGTAATTTCCTCATCTTCGAGGCATAATCTGCATTCCGCAGATAATCGTAGTTTATGAAGATGATATTTCAGACCATAATGTCCCGTAATTAAATGTGTTATCAACTTTAAATTACCTTTGGAGAATTTAAAAATATTTCTGTAAGAGTACGGTTTGATCAGTGCTTTCCTCTATATAAATGAAAAGAACGAAAACCTTTTTTGACAAGATCATATTTGTTTAATTGAAAATAGTTCTCTTTTGATATCCAAATATTTAATGAGATTAATTAATGTTTTTAAGATGCTGAACTCCAGTATCATAATATTATCAAATCTTTCATCCATACAGGCACAGTTTTAATGAAATCTACGGATTTCACGGATTTAAGTTGGTCAACATATTTTTTAACCTGCATGATGGAAGCATCTTGTAAATTCTTATAAAATTTTAAACGCAATTACATTTATGAATAAATTATGATACGTGAACTATTTGCTATCGCTGTAACTTGACATTATATTAATGTCACTCTGAGCACATCGGTCGTAAAAATTAGTAAGAGTGAAGAGTAAAAAATATATTATATTGAGTAAAATACTCACGGAAGCTTACCGAATAGTAAAAAATATGTACGGGAATGAATGACGTTCAAGGGGGCCTTAAAGGTGATGCTAAAGTTCCAAAATCTAGTTGAACATTGAACATAAAAAAAAACCAATCGCTGTATGTCTGCAAGATGTACACAGAGAAAATAAAGATATCGAAAACTATATACTATTAAGTTTTTACTTGAGAATCCAAACGCTAAAGTGAGAAATGGAAGTCACTACAAGAGTTCATTATCTGATTAGAAGTTAGATCAGCAATATACATTGTTTTTTCTTTTCGAAAGTCACACAGCGATCATCCGCCAAACTCACTTCACTATTTCTCAAACTAAAATTATCGAGCAAAAAGAAACTAATCGTATTCTTACTATTCCGTTCATCCGTTCAATTGAAATACTTAAGCAATTCCGGTAGATCAGTATTAAAAATATTTCGAAACATACATTGACTCGGAATCAAACTACTTTGAGTAAAATAATATAAAACTTTAAGAAAAGTGTAAAAAATATATTTTAGGTTTTCTTTTGTTTTGTTGCTAGTGTTATTGTTTCTGGAACATACTGTTTATTAGAATGCATCGGAAAAGTATTTCATTAGCATTAGAAATCAGAAAATAATTCTTTCGTTTGCGCAAAAAAATAACATATTTTATATTTTCGATAAACAAAATATGATACGATTTTGCATACTAAACCCATTTAAATACTGCATATGAATTGCATAACCATGGTAAAAATTTTATTATAATGTATTTACAATATTAAAATTTAAAATTTTGGTTAAGAGTGGAATATTTTGAAACTTCTTCATTTCAAAAATTATGCAGTTAACATTTATATCTTCTGCGCATTGTCTCTAATGACAACAAATTGAACACGGCAAACAGTGTTTCTAACAAAACAGAAAACAAGACCCAGAAGTGGTTCTTCAGTAGATTCCACAAGGTATCCGTTGATAATGTTGACCTAAACGAACATAGGTTCCATTCACCATCATAAAAAATCAACCCATGCTGTCATTGACTGAAATACATTATATTGCATAGAAACAATTACGAAGATTTTGTATGCACCTTATGCTCCAACTAGCAGTCTTAATGCATACATATTCATATCTTTCCTGAAAATAATCATTATAATAATGCAGTTAATATGCAGTATTTAGGGGCTTTCTGTGATTTGCGCTACTGGGAAAATAATTTTGTTTTATTTTCTATTGTTTTTCAAATCCCGTAAAAACGCAACTTTAACTTATTGTATATATCTTCTTTATTGGTTCGAAATGGTTTTATAAGTTCACATTTTTTAAAACTATTTAAATGTATTATTTTATAAAATGTTTTGGTCATTACAATACACTTTTCCATTTCAGGATCGTTTCTACCTCTCCGCAGTTGAAAAGCGGTGGCATGTTAACTGTCTGCAATGTTACGCGTGTCGACAGCCGTTGGATCGGGAATCATCATGCTACTCGCGAGATGGCAACATTTACTGTAAAAGTGATTATTTTAGGTAAGCATACTCCAGTGCTATATATGTAATGAACAATTTAAAGAACTTCCTATCTCTACATATGTACCTATGTCATGTTTACCTACACTTACTATAATTTACCTATATGGTAGTACAATATAACATTAGCAATGACTCAAATTATTTTAAATGCCACTGATTTCTGAAATGACTGGAGTCATGACTGTTCTATAAGAAGTATATTCTAATAATTCTATTACATATTGTTTCAAATTTAGTAATATAAACCGTTTATAATAATTTTAAAAGTCACATACCTATATAAATGGGACATAAAAATATTTAAAATACCATAAACAGTAGCAGAATAGTTTTTAGAACTTAAATCTTTGAATGTAAATAAATAACAGTTCTGTATAATATACATATAATAATAATAATTTTTAGTAGTAATAAATAATGTTTATAGCACATCTTAGGTGAAGCTTCTGAAATAAATTATGACTTTCAAAAATTTAACAAAAGGGAGAGTTCCAAAATGCTGTTATATAAGAACGACTGCTTTCGGAAAACACAAGAAGCTGGTGAATGATTAAAGTTATGTGCCTGAAAAGTACGTGTATAACAATTTCCACGTGTATTCTTTTATTATAAATATTGAAAGCTAAAAGTGCACGAAGAACAAATAACAAAGAGGCTAAAGCCTTGCACTTATACTCGTTCCTACCATTGCGTGCAGTTGAGAAATAAAGGCTCGACTCCACCGAGACTTGCAACTTGGAATGAACAGCAAACTGTACGCGTTTATCAGCTGTAATCTTTTCAGTAGATTAACTATATATGAATTGATTAAGAAATTTGATAACATTTACAAAAGCATGATATGAACGTGTGATAATCTTAAAATTTCAAAAGTACAAATTTTTTAAATTTAAATTAAGTCAAACAATTTCACTTAGCATTAGCATTGAATTGTAAATAATTTTCAGCTCCAAATAAATGATGGTTTATTAACTTTAAAACAGCACCAAAATAGCGTACAACTCTGATTAAATATACTTTAATTATAGTATAAATATCGTTAAAGAAAAAATATTTTCTTTCAAATATTTTTCATTCAAAAATAGTCTTTATAAAAAATTACTACATTCAATTTTATCCATATATCTACAATAGATTACATTGCACCTTACATTTCATATTGTGGAATACTTAATGCTTCATAAAAACAAAACACAACGTATATTCAAAATAAAATTATTTGTGTCTTTTGCTGTTATAAACAAGAGTTTGAATCTTAATTTTTTTCTTCCGAGCACACATTTGTCCCCTTTTTAACCAAAAGACTCATAAATAATTTAAATTTCTGACATAACACTGGCATGCTTGTTCCCTCCCTAACTTCCAAGCGTTTCCTCCCTACACTTTCTTAAAAAAATGAATTATGATTATTGCCATGTAAAAGAGTAGGCAAAATGTCAAAGTGACATCGTCTAATATATGATTATGTTTTCAAGAGCTCGAAATCTGATATTCACATCGCTTATCCATGTAGTTTGGTTAAGCAACTCACCGCAGAATTCTCACACGAATACGAAGTGTTAGAATTGCCAACTTGCTGAGATAAGTGCAGCTCATGTGACACATCAGTTATAAATTTTAAATGTGTGGTATACCATACCACATCCATTCATACGTACACTTTTACGATTCAATCTTCACTATAACTTATTAAATGTGTAGTGAACAAACATACAGACATTCATGCATACTCGCAGATACATATATTTGTGAGTTAGGTGGATTTGTGCACACTCAATGTTTTCGGTAATTCTCTCAATTGTGATTAAAAAAAACTTTCAGATTCACATATGCAATACTAATTATTTTACTTAATTTTAATGGCATATAATGCCAATATCAATACCAAGTTAATGAAAACAAAATATAATAATTAATGTTAATTTTTTCTTGCCGAGAGCGACGCGTCTTTATGACGAAAAGAAACTATTTAAAAGTTACACTGATTCGAATAGCAAAGAAAAGACAAAGACAAAAATTTAGTTAATTTATAAAAATTTGGCTGACCATACAACTGACCATTCCGAGTATTGCTAAGTACTCATCATCAGTGGTCTTATAGTCCATATATAATTTGTTTCGACTATAATAATGCCTTGATCGCTTTTTTATAAAACTAAAAAATCCGACTAAAATCCAAATTGTGACTCTGCGTATTTTTATTTGAATTTTTCCAATTTCTTTATTTGCATCTACATCTACATTGACATTGGGAAAAAATCACTCAGCGCTCTTAACTCTTGTTCTACTTAATTTTTTTGACTTAAGATTATCTAAAATATTTTCTATAAAATTATATGGTTGAAATCTGTTCAGGTCCTTGAAGATTGCAGTAATTCCTTTGCGAAATAGTTTAGGTGGGACAAAGATATGATAGTTAAATCTTTCACATCTTCTATTACTGTGGTTGTGCTAACTGCTCCATTTGAAGCATGTCAAAGAGTGTTTGTTATCTTTTGCTGTAAATATAAAATTATCGGTAGTTAGATCTAGTGACTCAGTCCCATAAATAAATATCATTTGGCCATATGGACTTTAACATTGCTTTATAAACAATAAGTTTGCTGTATAAGGGAGTTTGGAATTTCGGTCTAGTAACCAGAATATATATACTGTAATTTAGTATGTAATATAAAAATATCAATATATATAAATATAAAAATATGTTTCTTCCTATAATTTAACTTTTAAAATACTGCTTCTACATTTCTGAAAGCAACATAAGATCCTTTTTTCAAAATTGTTTGATATAGTGTTTTGAGTCTGAGGCTGCAATGTAGTTTGAAATTCCATGACTATACACAAGTTACAAAGTCAATAGGATTTTATATTCAAATAAAAATTGTTAAATTATTAAAATTAAATTTGCTTAGTAATGCCGTTTTGGATTGGCAAATCTGGGGTACACTTCCAATCAAAATTAACTTTTAGTGCAATTTTCATTTTCAATTGGTTAATATCGAGCGAAATGTTTAACATTCGGCCTATAAGTAAATTCTAACTAAGGGGCCCCTACCAACATCTTTTTATACTCTTTACACAAAAAAATGTGAAAAGGGTATATAAGGTTTGTCAAGATTTTCGTAACGTATTAAAGGAAACGTCGGAAATACCATTAAGTATATATCAGTACAGTATATATATAGTTTTTCAGTTCAAACTACTCTCTCAGCTTTTGAACTCTTCCAATGAAACTTTACACACATACTTTTCGGGAGCGGACCATTTGTTCACCATTTGATTTGATTGAAATTGGACACCTATTTCTTATAGCTGTGATATAAACTTAACAATCGGATATGAGGTTTCTCCGTTTTTAATAAAGGTATTCAAATGGAATTTGGTATATACAGTACTGATATTTGAGAATGTCTTCTAACACTACTTCGATATATTAGATTACTCTAAAAATGTTCAATTTGGCAAGAAAATTTGACAGATTGAAAGTAAATCAAGATGGAATACAGATTTACCAATTGAAAGCACCATAAAATATCTTTTCTTCATTATAATTAATAAAAAGGTTATGAATTTTTAAGGATTATACTATAAAACGTAAATATTGACCTGAGTAAACTGTGTCCAAACTGCTTTCTAATAATAAAAATTATATATATCTGTTTATTTATCTCGCTCCACATAAATATGAGATAAATTCCGCATTTAAACTGATTTTTCGACAAATAAAAGATATTGACAAACAATATCATGTAGAATCAATAAAATATAACTGTGAGACATTTTAAAATATTTTTATTTATTCGAGATGCGTACTTAAGTAAACAAGATCTTTAATAAATAAAAATATCAACAACGTTTATTCGAAAACCGATTTATTTTGTTTAGAATAATTTCTATTCGACTCAATAAAGCTGTTTGCCTACATAGTCGAAGAGCATTTCGAATTAGTATTTTAGATCGTCTACCAAGATATCCTTCGGCATGTCACTATAAGCTTTCTGGATGGTATTTATATTCATCATATTTTTGAAAATATGGAAAGTTATTGACAAGTAATTGTAGTCAAATTTTATCAAAAATACAAAATTCCATAACTCGAATTTCTATAGCTCGAACTAAATAGAGTGCAACAGAGTTTAGAAAGCAAATTACATAAAATTACAAAAAAAATCTTTAGCTCGAAGTCTCCATTAGTCGAATTTTTTCTTTGCTAAATCGTACTACGAATTATGAAAGTATGACTGTAGTTTCTTTCGACTCAATATAGCGATTTACATAGTCTTAAAACATTGCAAATTAGTATTTCAGATCGCCTGCCAAGATATCCTTCAAGATTTCGGTACAAGCTTTCTGGTTAGCTTCTTCACGCTTAGAAATGCTTAAACGCTTTGTTTCCTCAGCAACCGAATGAATATGAAAAGTTGTTGACAAATAAAATATGATTTGTAGGTAAAAAAGGTGAACGATGAGATGGCGCATAATAGGACATCTTTCTATGCAACTTTTTATCCAAATACGACAAATACAATGCATCAAACACTATAAACTCCTAAGAAAATATTATCCGTTAACGATTCCAGAACGAATCGTTTTTAAACAATATTCTTGAAAAAGCAATATTGCTTCACTTTTTAGTTCTTTAAACAAATTTTATTTTTAGCTTATCTGACTACTTCCAATGAAAACTTGAGCACTTGGTTTTTGAATCATATTCATAACACTACGTTTCATAATCAAAGATAATATTTAAAAGGAACTTTTTAATCTTTTTAAATTCCTTGATGATATTCTTCGCATGTTAAATTGTGAGCAATTTCTAGTCGTCATTCGACTGGTGCGGAACTAGCCGTGTATGCATTCTTTAGTAGCCAAATAATTGTTTTAGATATGCTTAATTCCAATACAATGAAAATCAATGAAAAATTTAGACTAATGTTAGATGTAATGTACACCACTTAAGAATACTGTCCCGGGGTTTGAAATTACACCGAGTTTCATTAAAATTTTGCTAAGTTAAACGAAAACTTAATATTATATTCATATTCTTTTAGTATCCATAACACAAATTACTGTCGCTTCAGATGCTTCTATCTATCTAACTTCTCCATTTATATTTAACCAAATGTTATTGTCCAAATAGTCTTGTTTACAAAGTAATAGTAATAAATAAGTAAGTGATTGTTTTTTAAGAAAACTATATACATATAAATCTATGCCGAAGCTGAAGTTAACCCTTATCTTCTAAGTTTTTAATTTTTTGAAGATAAAAACATATTTCATTCAAGTTCATTTCGTAATATTTGTAAAAATATTCCCGATTTCTCAAATTTTTCAATCATACCGTAAGAATGTTGTACATAGCTAACATCAGATCGGATACTTTATTTCAAATGGAAGGTATTCTAATTTTGTAATACAATACCTACATTTCGAAAACACCGCTTCAGCATTTTTCACCCAACGAAGAGCACTCATTGGGTTTGTAATACAAGAAGGTAACGTAATGATATTTGAGTTCATGATAACATGCTGTGAACCATATACAGGATTATACGCCACATTTGTTTTTTTAAAAAAAGCATCATATCTCACCACCACTACTTCCACTGCTACCACTGCTACATCAAATTTCCTAGTCTCCTTTGCTTTCGAAAAATGTGGTTTTTCAAAAAGGCGGAATAAATATTTTATCCTGCAGAGATAATTCCTAAGTATCGCCACGCTCCCATCATTAAATAACAGATTTGATTTTTTATTTTATTTTTTTTAATTCATAAAAGAAAACAAATACTTTTTATTTTGTAAATAATATTGACTGTCGAGTCAACATCTCTGAAACCATTCGTCAGTGCATACAGTATTTAAATAAAGTTCATGATTTAGTAGTTTATTTATGAACGCTTTTGATTTCTTTATACATCTATACATCTATATCTTCAAACCCAGAGCACATAAATGCGAGTATGAAATGGTATTGTCTGTCGGTCATAACACACGAATGATGTGATTAAACTAACTAAAATTAAATATAAGAATTCCATTTCAGTTAATAATAATGCTGATTCTCACGAATAATCGTGAGTTCGCCGACAATTCTTTAAGACTCTTTTAATCATCATAGTTACCGGTATTGCTACTGCTGCCGTTAATTCGCAATGGAAGCAGTAACATGATTCTCGGTTCACTATAATTTAAAACTTGTAGCGCAGCAATAAAAACACGCAAACTTTTTGCGTGTTCGTTTTCAGATTTAAAGTATATGTGAACGACGAAAGTAAAGTGAAATTAATTAAACGTTACATGTGGTGAAATTATTTCCGTTTTTTATTTCCATATATTATGATAGCAAAGAATGACGAATTATTTTCCTATCGAAAACAATATAAAAATATAAGAATAGTTTTGTACATAAGTTTTGATCATTTCTAAAAATAGTTTTTATATCATAATAAAAAAATTTAAAACTCAGATATATAACTATGCATAAACCTAGAAGCTTATATGAACTAAATCTTTAATGCAATAAGATTAAAAGATTCATAAAGGATTGCATTTTTGTTTCGCTTGCGAACTTATCATTTATTTTGGTAATTTACAATAACTCTTTAAATATGAATATTACTTAATCACTTGGCCGCGTCGAGTAACCTCTGCCAGTCAGCCCGATTAGTTACTCGTTGTCACCAGTTAGTAGTAACTAGCGCCCCAAATCATTGGTTACCTGGTTCTTGCACCGAAAATGCGAGCGTCCTCTACCGCATTTTCCACCTGAGGGTACCCAATCGCACACCTTTGTAGCTCTAGCACTTATTTTCATTCGCACGACATGACCAAGCCAGCGAAGCCGCTGAATTTTTATGCGTTTAACTATGTCAATGTTGCAGTATAGCTCATACAGCTATAGATCGTTCCATCTAATTCGATACTCGTCGCCAATGTGTAATTTTTCTGTCGAATGCTTCTAACGCCTTCTCATCACTGTTAGTAATTATCAAGCTTTTACACCATACAGCAGGACAGGCATGATAAGAGATTTGTAGAGCATGATTTTTGTTTGTCGAGAGAGGGTTTTATTTCTCAATTGCCTACTTAGTCCAAAGTAACATCTGTTGGTAAGAGTGATTCTTCGTTGAATCTCTAGACTGACGTCATTAATATGAATATACCTTTATATATATATACATATATCATATCATATTTTAAATAAACTCATGTATGGGAAAAAAAGTGTAGGTAAAAATAATTGTCATTACATATTCAGTAGATAAACTTTGTAATATTGTAAATAAATATATTATTTTATTTAAATAATTTAATCAATTGATAAAGTCTTTTTGTCGACAGTTTTTTTGGTACAAGGCGGTGTTCTCGTTGTCTAGCAAGTATAAGCTCATCTGAACTAGTGATGCGTGCAAAAAATTTGGTATTTCATGTTAACTGCTTTTCTTGTGCAGTATGTCGATCTCCACTTACAAAAGGAGATCAATTTGGAATTGTTGAATCACTAGTTTATTGCAGGTATGCAAACTGAACCATTTTTATTAGTATAGCAAATATAAGATATAATTACAGAACCCATTATGCAGTAGCACGAGAGGAAGAAACGTCGACGAATTTATCAAATTCAACTTTTACCTATGTTTCCCAATTTGGATCACCTCATCATGATTCATCGAGTCCTCATTCAGATCCTAATCGCATTGTTCCTAGTAACATTTTTGTCCCTTCATCTCATATTATGCCAGGATTACCGCAGCCACCACGCCAAAAAGGAAGACCGCGAAAAAGAAAACCGAAAGAAATAGAAGCACTAACTGCCAATATGGGTAATTATAAAATTAAATATAGTTATTTGTGTTGAAAATATATAAGTTCTACAATATTAAACAATATTTGAATTAAGTGTTTAGTGAATTGTTTTTCTTCGCCTAACTAGAGTTAATAGATTCAGCGCATTTTTTAAACAAAGCTGGCCTACAAAATTATGAGAGATCTTATAAAAGATAATTTTATATATTATAATACAAGTATTAATATTAAAGACATATTATATGAAGTTAACATTCTAAATTTGATATTTCCCATATTTGTGCTACATATTTACTTCGTATCCAAACATTTTTATTATTATTATCATTATTATTAAATGGACTACAAATTGCAGTGTTGTTGACACCATTCAACTTCTTTTTAATTAATTGAAAAAAACTTGAAAACGTTTCTTTTACACAAAAAAAGAATTATTGTTACTAATTCACAAAGATTTTAAAGTACGAAGGTCTATTGGGATAAACCAACATCTGAAAGCCGTTATGCCACTATTATAATTTTTATACAGTATGTCCTCGATAATCCAGACAAATATGTTTTTGTTTAATATAAAAAAAATTACTGTAATTTATGTTATTCGAGTCACAGTAGTAATCATCAAAAATGTCAGTATATTTAGTTAATAGTTAGTATATTTATACTATACTTATGCCATATAATACGAAGTCTGTCTTATGTCAATTATTGCCAACATTTTTTATTTATTTTCGCTTTGCTTCATGACAAGGAATGCGTTAGCCTCCTTACGGTATCATTTCGTACTAATAAAATAATATTGAACTATTTTTAAATGTTCTGAATATATTGTTTTAAGACCTGTGTCGATAAATAAATATTACTACCATATCTATCCAAAGATATAAAACAATTTTTTTTTGCCAATATCTTCACTTAACGTATGAAGTGGTGGCGCCACATTTCATCAGAAACATTTTTGCTTATGCGCTGATCCATAACAGCCATAAAACTGGTAATAAAACTTGTGCTAACAAAAATTCTGAGAAATGCTTAAACTTAATAGCATCAAGTTCGTCCGCAGAGAGCTAAAGAACCTCTTAATTGTACATATATAACAATCATTTGCATTGTTAATGGTTTTGCTTTAATATTTTTTAAAAAAATTTACATGTATTAACAGTTTGAGTATAACATCAAATTTTCCCAAGTGTTTATAATGCTAACTCTTAAACGCGTTCCGCTGTTCCTCCTGTAGGTTAAAAACAATTAAAAATTTTAATCGGTTTAGAAAGATAATAAAATATTATTAAAATATATACATCTTCAGTTTAACCTGCAAAATATGCCATAAAATATTTATTTTTTAGTGCACTTTTAAGCATAATTCAGTATATTTTCGTATACTCTTAAATCATTGAAGTAATCATAAAAAATTATTATTTAGACATTTCCATGACAATTATTCAGAGATGTTCTAAATTTCCTTTAAAAAAAAAATTAAAAAATTCTTCCTTCAAGTGTGAGTGAAATGTGCAAATCTCAAAAGTTTCAAATTTTCTATACCTACAAAAACAATTCACATTTTGCGTAAAATTACACATTTGCTACAACCGAACCCATTTCTCAAAATCGTATGAAAATATTCTGTATAGTTGCATTGCAGTAAAATTTGTAAGAAAAATGTGATACTGAAGGCATATATAAGACTTTCACTTCCCTTTATTATGGGGCTCTTTCACAACCAAGCCGCATCATCCACATTTCTTATATAAATTTTAATGAAAAATGCAAATAACATATCAGCGGTTTTCACTCTGTCTTGGAAACTCATTGCAAGGTGCACGAAATGCATAGATTGCGCAAGCTTGCAATGAACAACAACAAAACACACGCCCAAAGTTTCTTGCAAATGCTTGCCATCTTTCTATACCTACACCCATGTACAGTGCCTATACCTAAACCCATATTAGTTGTTATCGAAGATATTTTTTTTAAATTTGTTTTTTAATTTTTGCATTCGCTGTGGCAATAACTTTGTTCAGCCAAATTTATTTTTTTTTTTTGGTTTTTTTTTTATTTTAAAAAATTAAATATAAGAGAAAATGAAATGAAATGAAATGAATTTAGAAGCAAATTAAACATTTTATCTAAAAAAATTTTTTGTTGATGAAAAATCGCATAATTAACAGGAAACAAATAATGCTAAACTACAATTTGCTTGCTGTGCCAATAATTACGTTCGGCACTGTATGGTATATACGCTTGCAACGAAACAAAAAATGAACAAAAGCAGCTGTTTTGATATCTGTTGCTTCACATGTGAATGTGGTTTGCTTGATGGCTACTATATAAATTATCGATCAGTTTTAATATTTTATATCGCATGAAAATATGCGGCACATATCGAAGATAAATCGTTAACAATTCACATATAAGATTTCTTAAATTTCACAAGTTTCATATGAAAAGTGCACGAGTGACAATTGTCCGCATAGCACAAAAACTTAAACAAATTAATGCTTGACAGTTTGACTCTTGATATACGCTAATGTTTGACCAATTGTTGGAGCACCCAACGGAACTAAATGTATCGTCTGCATTTATGAAACAAAGCAAAAATATAAAATACCCGCGCACAGTGGTTCAATAACCAATTTTATTAGCCCAAAATCTAAAAATTTTAGATCAATACTCTAACTAGACGAAATTCAAAACTTTTTTGTAAATATTTCTCATTAACATATACGAGAAAAAGTTATATCGTCTAGCCGAAGGAACTGTAAAACTTTAATTGTTGGATTGACATGACATTGTCGCATCACATGCACATAAACTAAACCTAATTCACTGCGATGCTTGTAGGAAATGCAACGAGCCGAACGTTGGAGTATCTGCTGTGTAACTACCCGTCTCTCTCGAATTACCGGACTGTCAGTTCTACCTGAGGTTTCTGTTGAAATCCTAATAAAATTCACTAAAAACACGCTCATCCTAAACGATGCACACTATCGCTAAAAAAAAGACAAAAAAAAAATTAAGACTGATTATTAATTAAGACAATGGACCTTAGTGGTCTACGCGTGACCTTTTTAGTCATAACCTATTTTGTCACTAACATATTGATTTAAAAGTTCATTGTCTTTTATTTAAAAAATTTAATAATTTGAAAATTTAATATTTTTTTTTACTTATTGCTTAATTTTGACACTAAATACTTTTATTACAATTTACAATTTATTTATTTTTTTTAATTTTTTAATTAATTTCGTACAACATTTCTTAAAATAGTTCCATGTGTTTATTATTAATAAAAAAAAACTTTTATTGTTTAAGCAATTAAATTTAAAGTTTTTTCAAATCTAAGCAAATAAGATTTGTAAAAGATCTTTACAGGTCACCTAAAAACAATGTCCTCGAAATACTGAAAACGTATAGTATCTACCCTATTAGTTTCGTTGAAGCTAATAGAAATATATTTCTATTATAAATTTTTGTAATAATATTTCTAGAAATATTATTACAACTTGGGAACTAGTCATCGCGTCACTGCATCCTCGAGGATTATTGTGACATACCCACTTCAGTTCCATAGACGAGTAGCAGTTAAGAATGCCAATATGTCCTTTGGAGAGATGTTGCCTAATTCCGTTATAAGCGAATAGGCAGTGGATAAGTAGCGAAGTCTGAGTCTTGCAAGACAATCACAGTGACACAAAATGTGTTCTCCTGTTTCCTCTTCTTCGTAACAAAGTCTGCAGCTATCGTCTCCAATAATACCTAGATTCAATAAATGTTTTTTAACTCCGCAGTGTCCAGTTAGAAATCCTGTGACAAGTCGGATGCCACTTCTGTTCAGCATAAATAGCTCCCTAGTTCTGGCTTTTGATCGAAACGGCATGAATATATAGAATATATAGAATATAGAATAAAGAATATATAGAATATATACTAACAATGATTAGTATTAAAGTTAGTTAAGTTTTGACAAATACTATAGCTGTCTTTAATTATATTATTTGTAAAGGAGCATCTAGTCAACTTCACAAATAAATAACGATATCAAGCAGCCCTCAGGTCGCAGAGTTTAAATTTGACGAAGACGTCGGTGGCAAAGTAACAACCGTCAATCACATGTGTTATCTGGCACCGGTTGTTATAAACGGAACGCAAAAAGGTATAGTGGATAAATATTCTATCAAAGAATTATCATTCAGAACAAAGCCAGAACTATATGAAGTTGCAGTGAGATCAATATTGTACTATGTAGCACAAATGTGGGTGAAACAAAATCAGTGGAAAAACTTCATTCTGGTTGTGTTTATTCCATTATTAAACATTAACCAATAAGATCAAAATCAAATGATTTCTCTGGAGCCTTATCACCTTTATATATTTTAGCTCTTGATATACATTTCAAGTATATGGTAATAATTTTTATATGGATCGTTACCGGCGTCTATAAGAAAAGTAACAATTATTTTACATGTAAAAATTTAGCAAATATCCGACAATTTCACTAGGCGATAACAATTCTACTATTTTACTTATTGCAGGAGCTATAAGAAATAGTTTTAAAATTCATGGGGAGCTTATAAGCCGTTTAGGGTACTACGGGTACAATTTTTTGTAAAGCCAACGTTAAATATAAACTGGTCGAAATGTATGCTAAAGGATGAAAATTAACATATTCTGCCTATATAGTATATGTAAAAAGATATATATATACAGTAAAGATCGGATTATATATTACTTATTAGAATTTGTATTATATTAGAATTATCGCAATCAAATTTTCGAAGCAAAACAAAAGAAATAATAAAAATTATAAAAGAATACCTATTTTCAGAATGACCGCAAAAACCACAGTTGGATAAGCAGAAAAATGTATTTTTTCTTAACCAACCTAGGTTTAAGTTAAATTAAATTTTAATTGTAGTCAATTTTGTATGATTTTCTTATGCCATGTTTTCACTATGTCATTTTAAATGACAATTAAAATTAACTGGTGTGTCAAATGCGTTTTCATTACATGACAAGAACGCAAATATGACATCATATGACTACAGTTTTCATTATACTGACAATATTTGTTATTGTAAATGGCATATTGAAAAAAAGGTATTATTACCTGAACGTGAAAAAACTACTACCACGGACATACCAAAATATACATACCTTCTGCTCAAAAAGTATCCGAATTTTGTTGTTTGTTAACTACTCCTTAAGTAATAGACCTTTTTCAAAAATTTTTGTTATGTTGGTACACCCTTTCTTGACATATGGTACAAATTTGAGCGCCATCTGTCAATTAGTTTGTTTACAGCAGCTGTTAATGTGAGACTACCTCAAGTGCATTTAGCGATTTTTACTATGGAAATTCTTGTTGTACGCGATTTTGTGACCAAACACTGCACCACTGTCATCGCTCAGACACCATATTCCCCAGATCTGGATCCGTGCGACTTTTTCCTGTTTCCGAAACTCAAATTGCCCCTTCGTGGTAAGCGTTGTGAGTCGATTAAATCGGTAAAAGAGAATTCGCTAAAGGAACTAAAAGCCATACTTTCACGGGCCTACGAAAAGTATATGGAAGATTGGGTTAAGCGTTGGCACACATATGCCATCGCTTCAGAAGGAGCATATTTTGAAGGAGATAAAATAAATTTGAAATAAAATTTAAATTTGTGTGTTTTATTTACAAAATCCGAGTACATTTTGAGCAAAAGTTATGTATATTAAGCCGATTTCAATATATAGTTGACAGGGCGTCAACATTTTTCAGCTAGTTAATCCGCTTCAATTATTCTGATATTAATTATTTTCAAAAATTATTGAATAAGGTCATTAAGAACAAAATTAGTTACAAATTAATTATATAGTCTACATTATGCGCTTATGATGTGTTAAATGTTAATTAAATAATACTTAATATATTTATTTATTTAATAACACAGATTTGAGCACTGAATACCTTGATTATGGTCGAGCCTCACATCTAACTTCATCATCACGAACAAAAAGGATGAGAACGTCTTTTAAACATCATCAGTTACGAACTATGAAATCTTATTTTGCAATAAATCACAATCCAGATGCGAAAGATCTGAAACAATTATCACAAAAAACTGGTTTGCCAAAAAGAGTACTACAGGTTGGTATTTAATATAATTAGTCATAGAGAGCTTAAGTCTCGTTAAGATAACTTTGAACAAAATTTTATTTATGTTTAGATTCTATTAAATCAGATATAAATTAGAACAAGAAAAGTTTTTGTATTATAATTACAGTTTAAAAACAAATATAACGCAGTTGAATCTGTTAATGATTTTTTTTTTGATTTTGTGCACAGAGTCTTAAGATAAAACATTGCACATATGTACGTATACTTCCTGTTTTTACTATACAATTATTTAAAATCCTTTTTGTAATTCACTGACTTTAAGGGAGACAATTTTTGTATTTTATTAATAATTGACGACGCAAATTTTATCTGAATTATATTAAGTTTCCGGTGAGTATGTACTATCCAAAAGCATAACAAGATGGAAGACATCATAGTTATCCTAGCTTAGTTTTTGATTATCATTTTAAGTGGCCAAAAACTCTTACTATTTACAAAAATATTCAATTAGTATATCAAATAGTATTGGATGATCGTCGAGTTAAAAATTGGAAAGCTTGCTAAGGCTATGGCTATTTCACCTAAGTATATTTGAAAACTAATCTAGAAACCGTAAGTTGGGAGTCGATTTTCCTCACCAAACAAACTGAAATATTCATCAGGCTCTGCAAAACGGTTTAATCTTGAAAAATTGCCACTAGACCAGAGGAAGACTTCAATCGTGATCAGTATATAAAACTGTCGGAGACCTTTAAAAACACTAGTTTAAAATTACATAAATTGCATTGCTGGTTGTCTGTTGGTTATTAAAGATGTTTTATTTTTTTTTGATTTAGTAGGTTGCTTCAAGTTAACATTGAGGAGACATTCAAAAGGTCCCAGTTCTGTCTAATGGAATACGATAGTTTCTTCTTTAAAAATGTTTCAGTTGTAAATAGAATAAGAATTGATTATGTTTGGTAAAGGAAGAGTAGTTTTTTTATGCAATAAAAGCGAAAAAGGTTGTTAATAGCATTCGTGGTTATGATAAAATGACAAAAATATGGCTAGTCATCTCACCTGCCTCCAAGCAGAGCCGATATTCTATTTACTAGGATTCTATCCAAGGTCTACATCCATAGCGATCTGTTTTAATTTTATGTCAAAAATTTGTTTGCTAACACACTGGTTCTACAGTTAGTTTACAATCATCTGAATTATGTAGCATTGGCGGCTTTTGATTATTTAGTAAGTTCGGACAAATTATGTAATTGATCTAACTATTGTAGAATTATTACATTGCAATGGATTACAGCCTGACTAGCTATGCATCATTGCATCAGTTATTTCTTGCTTCACACTAGCTGACATTGGTCAGAGTAGTCAGTGTTGATACAGGCTTGGACGCTTTTTAATCTTTTGGTAAGACTTACTCGAGTTCAAACTGCGATAGCGTCAACTTCCACTAGAAAGACCCTGAACCATAGTTTCAGGTATAAAGTATTGGAACGAAATACTACTACATCAACTCTTTAGTAGCGGTCTTTCACACATATTGATAATTGAAGATATATCGACAATGTTTACTATCTTTTTGACAAATAGAAACCCATTCTTTGGTTAGGGGATAACTACACATACTAAGCAATTTGTTATTATACCAGTACATTATTCCTCCAAACTGGTGAACAGCGTAACAATGCGTCTGTAGTTTTTCTGCAATGGGTCTGTTATAATTCGACAATTACTTTGTGATTCGAAGTAAATTTTCCAGTTGAATCTTTAACCCTACGTAATTTTACTAATAATATCTGTAGGAATGGTGAAAAATCAATGGTACCAGAGGAGTGAGACGAAAAAATTCTACATCGCACTTACCTATTGAACCCATTGTAGCACCTATTAGCCAAGGTTTTGCGGCGAAAAAATTGAAATTTTAAATAAATGTGCAGTAATGACATTTATTTAAACTTTAGAAACATTTGTTTAGTTTATTAAATTAAACATAGTATTAAATAGTATAGAATTGTATTAAACAATACTATTCAAGTTAAACTAACATGTCTAGTAGAAATTAGAAATAACAATTTTGACTTTAAATCAAACCATTAGTATATAAGTAGAATTTACATCTTGTTAGTTTATGATATTATGTTCTACTCGTATTTTATTTTTATTCAATTTTTAGTAATTATTTCTTTTAAACTTTTAGGTATGGTTTCAAAATGCAAGAGCAAAGTGGAGGCGAATGATGATGAAACAAGATGGCAGTAGTATGTTGGAAAAAGGCGAAATACCTCTTGACCTGGATAGCATATCTGCACACAGTCCTACCTCGTTTATAATGGGTAGAAGAAGTACTTCACCACCCCATAATTTAGATTAGTTGCTAGAGATAATTATATGTAAGCAACATCTTATGATGGGTTGACGATCGGCAGGGAATATACCGCCTTTCTTTACAGTAGTTTACTTGAAAAATCAATTAAAGTTATGTACATTACCCATATTACATTCACTGCTAACATAAAATTCAAAAATGTATATTAGAGTTATATTACTTATAACTACATTTTTTTTAGATTACTTATCACTGGTTATGTCTTTATTTCTATGAATAGAGGACATCTATTCGAGTGTAACCGTAACAATTATTTTGTACGAAATATAAATATAATTTATGTCTTTTTATAATGTAAATGTAAATAAAATTATTCGTTATAAAACCTACGCGCTAACACAAAGATTTCAAACAATTTATTCTATAATAAAAAATTATTTCTAGTCAATTTTCAATATATAAAATATATTTTAAATGTTATAAATAGTTTCTTTTTCGCAGATATGTTTATTTATATAACTCAGTTTTTAGTTACGTTCAGTTTTAATATTAAAAATTATTTCGTATAGATCAAACTTAGTGTTAGTTAAAGTTTCACTATATTCAGTAATACAGTTTAAAATTTGTGGTAATATACAAAGTAAAAGAGTGAAGATGTTACAGAGCGATTATGTTTAACTCTCGACCACTCGCGTGTTTATTTTCGAATACCGACATACGCGAGGAGTTACAGGCAAATAACTAATTAATTTATTTAGTCTAGAAGTAATCAGCTGGCTTCTTTTAAATAAAGTTCTTTTAATAAGTTTATCAATTGATTTATATTAAGAGATATAAAACTACTTTCCTCACGAATATTTCAGCAAATTTCAGTAATTTCGTGATTTTATTGTGAAACTGAGAAACATGGTCTTAACATTCTTAATTATAGCTTCTAAACATGGCTCTGAGCTTTCGCATTGTACAAATATGTTTCAAAATTCTAAAAACATACATATTTACTAATATAAAATATATGTGATATATATAGCACATATATATATAATATATAGCAACTGTTCATAGTACACATATAATTTGTTAATATATAAGATATGTTCAATTTAAATTTTCGATGAATAATTCGAAGTTTTCGAGCATTCGAACAGTTTGAGTTTACTCCATTTCGAAATTCTGTGAAATTCGCAGAATATAGAAAATGTGATTGGTTATGTCAGAGTACACACAACAACACAAGTTCAATCCGATCACCAAATAAAATACAATTGCTCAATGTTTGGATCCACTGATGTTTCTTCTATTCTTCCATATATCTTCTATATTTATATAAAGCAACTACAATGCGATTGGTTCTTACGTGTCCTTTTTCAATTTCAGCACGAAGTATGAAATGCATTATTTTTTTGTGTGGTAGAACAGGACAGGTCAGCTGATTTTACACCACAACTGAAGGCTCAGTTAGACGGTAGGTAACGTAAGAAATTAATTCAAAGCGAAATGCACCACCATCCAAACTTGTGTGTTTAATAGAAACAAAATAAACAAAGTACACCGTTTTTGTTTATATCGTTGCTATCAAATAAGCAGGTCTGGTTGGTTGTGAATTTCGCTTCGAATTAATTTCTTACGTTACCTACCGTCTAACTGAGCCTTAAATCAGCTTTAACTTACGTTGAAATCAACAACAAATGTGGTGATTAATGCTGAATTGCTTATATACGTAACACGACTAAATGCGTATCTTTCTCAATTTAAAATTTTCCAGGCTCACAATAGTTACGGTAGGAACGTAAGAGAAATATTATATTAGCTGTTATAAATAAACTATTTGCCGATCGGGGATTGAACTTGTGTTATTTGTGTTTTACGTTGATTTGCGATTTGTGTACGCTAACGTAATTAAAAACTTTTACCGCCTTTACCTTTTCTACATTCGCTAAATTTACACATTAACTAATTCCGACTTTAGTAATATATGCTATATAAAATCCATGCAAATATGTGTGAGATAGAAGCGTATTTATTTCTTAAGTCCATTTTTTTAATAAAAATCCCAAAATATTTCCATACGGCGTTCACGATATTAAATAAAGAGAAAAATAATAAAAACTCAAATCAAAGCATATTTCAAACAAAAACAAACAAATTGTAAAAAAAAGTGAACAAATTTTTTGCCATAGATCAATTTTATTAAATAAATTTAAAACAATGATAAACTAGACGAAAATCGTGTAATATTATTTATTGTTTGTTTTAAATAATTTAGGGCATTAAACTCTTAAAGTTAAAATGTAAACACTTAAACTTTCTTTAGGCAAGACTTGTTGACTCACGTAACGAGTAATAAAGGGTACTCTTAAAGTAACCATTACATAAAATGTTTCTAATTTTTAATATTTCTTTAATTGACCATTTCAAATAACTTGTGGTAAGGGTATTCAAAAATAATAATAATTATTATGTTAAAACTTTATGTTTAAACACACACATTTTCCTAATTGAAGCATTTAAATATACCATTATCCTCATCTTTTGCATATCATTTGTTTTTGTATAAATTTAAACTTAATTTCTTATATTGTTTTCTACATAAAATAAAAATAATAAATTTATTATTTATCATAAATTAAATGTAGCTGTCAGAAGCTGTAATTAAAAATGTGAATTGCATCTGTTGGTTTAACGCAATCCAGATTACGATATGAACTTTTCTAATCAATTTTTGTTAAAAATTTTTTTAAGTACAATAATACAAACTATTGACCCTGATCTGCAACAAACTTTAGACTTTTATGTTATAAGACTGTTCTGCACATTGTTCAAAGATTCATTTAACTTAATAAATAAGAATTCAATTACCCTGAAATTTTCTTTATTAGTTGAATTGTTACAAATAAGGTTTCCACACATTTTAAAATTTACAAGAATTTATTAAAAATAAAGCAATTTATGACATAAATAAGTGAACGAACACGAATGATGCGATACATTTTTAATGATTGCATTTTAATTTAATTAATTGCAGTATAAACTTATTAGAACTGCTATAAGTAAAATTATGAATTGAACGGTATTTGCAAATATCTATGTAATAAAATATCATTTGTCACATAATGTATTTACCATGTAATATCATGCGTACAATACTGCAATATACAACACTACAAAATTTGGACAAAATTTAAAAATATATCCATATTTTATTAAGTATACTCAAGATATAACACTAAAACTCTAAATACAGAAAAAATATTTAAGATTTAATTCAGTTTAATTACAAAAAAATATTTGTACTAACATAACAAACGCAAAATAAATTAGGTTACAAAAGGGTTAACATTTCGAAATATATTCCCTTCATTTTTCACTACATTCAGAAAACTCTCCACTGTTCGAATGTTCGAATGAAAACAACCATTGTTCGAATGTTGAACTCAGATACAAAAAAAACAAATTCGATTATTTTGCACCCTGCATTATTATTGTGGAGATAAACTAAAATTACACTGAACAACAAAAGTTTTAATCCTTTACGTTCAAACTGTGATGTCCGCTTTCAGAATACCTTCATAATATAGCTGTAAAGATTCTTAAATATATCTAGAGTTAAAAGCCTGTTGAATATAAAATATTAAAACAATTTCTTATTAAAAGAACTTTTGTAAAATGCTTGACCTTGTATTTCACTGTAAAAGATAAATGACAGCCCGAAATAAAAACTAATAAATACTTTGCAGCTTTGGAAAAGACGCTCGTTTGTTGAGGAATTATACTATTAATTTTTGTTTTAATTAAACTTTTAAAATACTTTATGTACAATTGTGCTAAGTTTGCGTATTTTCAGTAATAATCAATTAAACAAGTATTGCTTTATAATTAAATTATAATTCTCAAAAAAAATTATATTCATAAAAATTATAACCAAAGCCAAAAGAAAAACTGACTAAAATTTTATTTCCATATTATACTACATTTACATTGTGAGATTAATCTCCACCGTTTACATTACACATTGCAGATCAATGTCGACATTTCTCTTGTTATGTTTTGTTTCGTGTGTTTGATAAATTTCTGTAAATAAGGCATTTAATTACAATATTATATAAAAAAATTGTAATATAAATTTCATAAACAGTTTTATAACAATAATTTAACAAATTTTAGTTATAATTATGTACAAAACTATTATTATACAAATTTATTAAAAATTTACTCACTTCGGCATTTATTATATTTTCAGTGTTTGTTTTGAATAGATTTTGACATATCTTTTCATCCAATTCTTCTGAGATCGTAAAAAAATTTACGATATTAAGACATTCGCAGAGTTGCACAGAAAATTATCAAAGGAGATCATATCAAAGGAGATAAAAAATTAATCTCGACCAAAAAGAGATCAACTTTTGTATTAAAAATCTGAGACTAAACAATGAGATTAGTACTTTAATCACGATTATTGCTTTAATCTACTTTTAATCTCACAATGTAAACGCCGTATTATACTTCGATTTCAAAAGTTTTACCAAATTAAAAACAATATGTAACAGTTTATTCAGCAGACAGTGAGACATAAGTGCACCTAGCTCAAACTTGCTAGGTGCACTCATTAACGTAACATCTTCATATGTTGCCTTTAAAAGTAAGAATTTTATGTTTCAAATAGTTTTAAATTAAAACTTTATTGACGATCGCGCTCATAAGTTTCAAAATCGCGATCCAAGTCCGCTTGAACGTAAACAAAGCATAATGCTACTTTCATTGGAAAGTTTTCAAATTTTTATTTTGGATCCATTAGAATGGTGGTAAAAAAAAGAAAACTGCACTATCATTTTTAAAACATTGTTCACTTATTTAAAAGACATTTTAACGATTTGATTTGGTTCAAATTAATGCGTTTAAGAATATCAGTTTACTAGTTGTAAACTTTTTGAAACCTCAAAGCAATGGGATTGTGGTAAAATCTACAAATCTCGATGTGATTGAGTAATACGTAATCCAAATTCGTGATTAGCGACCCAGGTTACTTACGAAAATGTTAAGCTTACAAATGATTTAACAAGACATAAAACTTATTACCCAATGCTATGTAACAGAGTAGTTTTTTTGTGAATATCTATCGAATTAATTTGCATTATATAGAACTATTTAACACTACTTTTAAGTCTGATGTGTTATTAATAAAATTAAGGATAGCGTAGTTATGTAAACACCTAATATAGATAGAAAAAATTAAATACATTATTATTTATGTAAATGTAAACATATTTAATAACATAGATTTATATAAAACTTAAAACTTTGTACTTAGATTT